AAAAAAAAAAAAAAAAAGAAAGAAAGAAAGAAAGAAAAAGAAATTCAAACAAACTGATGACAAGATAATAATACCAAATGATTGGCCAGGCACCTTGGCTCATGCCTGTAATCCCAGCACTTTGGGAGGCTGAGGCAAGTGGATCATTTGAGGCCAGGAGTTCATGATCGGCCAGGCCAACATGGCAAAACCCCATCTATACTAAAAATATAAAAACTAGCTGGGTATGGTGGCGTACCTGTCATCCCAGTTACTCAGGAGGCTGAAGCATGGGAATCACTTGAACCTGGGAGGCAGAGGTTGCAGTGAGCTGATTGTGCCACTGCACTCCAGCCTGGGTGACAGAGTAAGACTGTCTCAAAAAAAAAAAAAAGATACAAAATCATAACCTTATCATTACTCTTGACTCTCTTTAAATAGGCAAACAATGACAATCTCATTACTATGAAAAGAGGATAAGATTTGGCCTCCAGCAGCAGTCCAGGTCAACATTGTGAAGAGGTATCAAAAGGTCGTTTAGGGCAGGCATGGTGGCTCATGCCTGTAATCCTAGTACTTTGGGAGGTGGAGGCAGGAGTATCTCTTGAGCCCAGGAGTTTGAGACTAGCCTAGGCAACATAGCTAGACCTTGTGTCTATATTTTTTATATTAAAAAAGGGCAATTTGGTCCTACTCAAAGGAAATAGGCAACTCTGCCCTTAGCCAGATCAGGACCACACTAGGACCAGCCTTTGGTTCAGTGTGGCCAAGAACTTCCTACCAAAGAGAGATGACTTTTAGGAGAGGTCTCCCTATTACTGGCCTTGAATAAGCAAACATGGGACATTTATTTAGTGGGGTTATTGCAGAGGGCATGTGCAGTGGTATGATCTTGGCTCACTGCAACCTCCACCTCCCAGGTTCAAGTGATTCTCCTGCTATAACCTCCCGAGTAGTTGGGACTACAGGCATGCACCACAACACCCTGTTAATTTTTGTATTTTTAGTAGAGACAGGATGTCACCATGTTGTCCAGGTTAGTCTTGAATTCACCTCAGGTGACCTGCTTGCCTCGGCCTCCCAAAGTGCTGAGATTATAAGCAAGAGCCGCGCACTTGGCCTGGATTCTGCACTTTTTTTTTTGAGACAGAGTCTTGCTCTGCCACCAAGCTGGAGTGCAGTGGCATAATCTCTGCTCACTGCAACCTCTGCCTCAGCCTCCCGAGTAGCTAGGACTAAAAGTGCCCACCACCACGCCCGGCTAATTTTTTGTATTTTAGGGGTTTCACCATGTTGGCCAGGATGGTCTCAATCTCCTGACCTCATGATCCGCCCGCCTTGGCCTCCCAAAGTGCTGGGATTACAGGTGTGAGCCACCGCGCTGGGCCTTTTTTTTTTTTCTCATCTCAGCCTCCTGAGTAGCTGGGATAACAGGTGTGTGCTACCACGCCTGGCTAATTTTTTTTTAAAGACGCGGTTTCACCACGTTAGTCAGGCTGGTCTTGAACTCCCGACCTCAGGTGATCTGCCCGCCTTGGCCTCCAAAGTACTTGGATTATGGGCATGACCCACCATGCCTGGCTGACGCCTGGCTAATTTTTATATTTTTAGTAGAGATGAGGTTTCACCATCTTAGGCTGGTGTTGAACTCCTGACCTTGTGACCCAGCTGCCTTAGCCTCCCAAGGTACTAGGATGACAGGTATGAGCCACCTCACCCAGCCAGTGCTGATTATTCTTAGGGGAGGCACGTAAAAACATCATTTATTGTTAGAAATCATGACATGACACAAAGTCAAAATCCACTTTTATTTTTCACGTCTTGTGAAAGACTATAGAGAGCCATGCTCAGCTGCTGCTTCTCCAATGCTGGCCAGCAGTTTACCTTTCTAAGTCATACAGCAGCTCATCCGGCCCTCAAAGGGCTGAAAGGGCAGCCCAGAGCCTCCCACTGACAGGTGTACTCACCCACCCAAGACACTGGGAAAGATCCCTGTTCTAGCATCACATTTTACTCAGATTTGTCAAAATCAGGTTGCTGTGGCAAAGGCTCTTTCACTGAGGATGGCAGTCCTGGAAGACTTCTCCTTCGGCGAGCCGCCAGCTCAATCTTCTGAACCAGGCTCACATCCCAGGGATGGGTCACAAAACTGATGACAGTGCCTGGAACCTCACTGCCCACACGGCCCACTCTCCCTGCTCTATGGATGTAATCTTGCAGTGTTGGGGGGAAATCATAATTGACAACCAGCTCCACACCAGTGCTGTCCAGGCCCCGAGAGGCTATGTCTGTGCAGAGGAGTATGTCTTGGGAGCCCTTCTGGAAGGACTGGAAGATACCTGCCCTCATCAAGGCTGGCATTTGCCCCTGCAACCTTAGGTGTTGGATTTTGTGGTCATCCAGAATGTATCCCAGCCAGTTCACAGTGCTGGAGCTATTACAGAACACCAGAACAGTTCCTGAGGGGCCAGTCTTTTCTGCTCTGTCATGATGCTTGAGGATGTGCACCAGCTCGGTCACCTTATCTGCCCCCTTCAGTCTCAGAAATGTCTGTTTCACATGAGGCATGATACAGTGGAGCTTGGAGCTGGTGATGGTGGTGACAGAATCTGCACTGGCGACTTTATTCAGCAACTGGCCTACACCTTCGGGAAATGTAGCTCCTACCAGCACTAACTGAGCTTTGGGATTGAAGGGGTCTTCCAAGTCAGCTGGGCCTTCTGCGATGTTGCTCTTCTCCAACACGTAGTATACAAGTTCCAGGAAGCTTTCATCCAGCAGTGTGTCTGCCTCATCCAACACCAAGAAGGAGAGTTGTTCCAGGCTGATAAATCGACTTCTCAGGGCTTTCCACAGTGCCCCTGGAGTCGCCACTAGCACATCGGCTGAAGGTTGTTTGGACAGTTGCAACCTGATCCTACGCATGCCACGGCCTCCCTCCAGGTCCTGCACTAGCAGGCCCAAGGAGCGCCCCAAGGGTTGGGCCACGGCCCGCACCTGTTGGGCCAATTCTCGGGAAGGCACAAGGACCAGACCTCGGGGCATGGGGATACGAAGGGGGTCCAGGCTTGGCTGGCCCATGAGCCGTTGAAGTAGAGGCAGGAGGTAGCTCAGAGTCTTGCCACTGCCGGTTTCTGCGGCGCAAAGGATGTGGCGGCCGCGAAGTAGTGGGGGGATGGTGTTACACTGCACGGTTGTGGGCTGAACGACTTCAGGCACAGCCTCCTGTAGTGCGTGCAGCACACGGGGCTCCAGGCCAAGGTCGGCAAAACTGTCCCCGGAGGAGGGCTTCTGCACCGCTGGCGCCTCCTGTTGCGCACGCTCGATGGAGAAGTGGTCCCGACGCGCGCGTCGACTCTTCCAGCCTCGAGAGGCTAGCGGCGCGATCTCCCAACGGCCCAGAGTGAGGCGAGCTGGCTGGTTTAACTCTGGCCGCCGCGCCGAAACCAGCAGCGGTCCAGGTCGCACCGGCACCGGCCCCGGGAGTCTCCGCCGTCTGCTCTGCTGCTGTTCCAACTTCCGCTGTAGAGCCACTGGGATGCGCACTACCGGAAAAGGTTCGTCTGGACTGCGGACCGTCAGGCCCCGTCGGGGAGCTAGAAGCAACCGAGCCACTAGAGAACAAAGCCGCACCGGCCGCGCTATAGCCATGTTTCCCTTAGTGCGGGAGAAGCGCACATCAATGACATCACGGACGCGCAGCGGCCTCGCATACGGTGGCTCGCGAGGCTCATACGGTTTGCGGAGCTGGAGCCCCGTGAGGAAGAGAGGGAGGTTCTCTTAAGAGTTCGGCTGAGAGGTCTGTAGCTCCGAATCAGGGATGGCGACATCCAGACCCTGCCAGCCTTGGGGAAGGGCGCGTCCTGGAGGCAGGACTGGAGGCTAGCGTTACGAGGCGGCTGTGGGATCTTGGCCCAATGGACCATGAGGGCGGAGGGCTTCTGGCGATTGGGTACCTGGTTCCTGGGATTCTCTTTAGTTGTTCCTCATTGCCCCGATATATCTTGCAACCCTTAGGTTGCAGCTGTTTTCCCAGATGTGTTTCCTGCGCATGGTCTGGTAATCCGTGTTTATTGAAAGTCTGAATGAATGGTCAGGCCTAGGGGCAGAGACAGGGGTCTGAAGTCATAGACCTGGGCTCAACCCCTCCTACTGAGAGCCCAGAGTGCAAGCTGATGGCTTTCACCTTCTTCTCTCTCAAGTGGGAGGTAAGGCCTTCAGGCTTTATTTCAAGCTGGGTCATCTCTTCACACTTACTTTCCTTCCTTTTCAGCCAAGGTTCACTCTCTACTCCCTCGTCACCCCTCCCAACTTCTCATCTTGAACCCACCTCTCTTGCATCCTGCTCAGCTCCTCTGGCTTCCCCGTCAGAAACCTAAATTTCTTGAATAGTAGTAAGGAGGGTGCTGCCACCCTACGAAGTGATCAGGCACGTGGTTTATCATGTGGCCCTGGTCAGGCGGAATATTTTACCTGAATTCAGATATTTGGGTTGTAAAAACAAGAACTTACACGAGTCACACTTTTTTTTTTTTTTTTTTTTTTTTTTTTTTTTTTTTAAGACTGAGTCTCACTCTGTTACCCAGGCTGGAGTGCTGTGGCGTCATCTTGGCTCACAGCAACCTCCATTTTTTTTTTT